ACTGATGAGATTTTAGTTTTGACTTTGGAAATTCGTATCCTCCTTACGTTTTTTTTTATCTTAAGGAATTACGTTTTAATAGCTACGAAAAATAATACCTTTTTTTTTTAACTTAATAAACGTAATATGAATAAAAAGTAATACATTAACTATTTACACACTTAAATATATATTCTTATTTATTATTTTATATTTTGATTTTTTTTTATAACAACTGTAACGAAAGCTATGTGAAATAGTTTGAGGTAACAGTAGACATAGACTAAAACTTCTACCACTTATGTCAAAAGAAATATTTGCGTGAGATTTTTAGTCGCCGGTTGCTACGTCCCAACCTGCCTCTACTCTAATAGTCTTTGGATAGTATGGAATTAATCTTAATTAACTATATTAGCATAATGATTGATATGGGTGGTGAGAGAATGTTAAATATACACAATTTTGTAGTGGAGGCAAGAGGTCGAAAATAGACATTTAAAAAATATTCCGAAATTAAAGATTGCACGTATGATTTTAATTAAAAAACAATTATTTTGTTCTAACACATCAATTAACCTTAATGAATTACGTAAGTTCCGCTGATAATTCAAACAATGATTTTGTTTCTAGATATTTTGTTCAAGTCAAACAACGCCAAAATAATTTAGAGAAAAGGGCGAGTCTGAATGTTCTTAAGGACTAACAGTTACCAGTTTTTAATTGTAATTAGCCAGATTTAAACAGAAAGCGGCATAGTAAGATTTTAAGTAAAATTGGCAAGAACTAAATGTGTCAAGATTTGAATGAATATGGCAAGATTTTTTTAATGAATGCGGCAAAATTGAATAAATATGGCTAGAATTGAAATTAATTTGGCAAGATTTGAACTAAGTGTGGCAAGATTTGAACAAAATGTAGCAAATTTTGAATGAATTTGTATAAATTTGAAATGATTTCGGCAAGAAATGAACTGAATGTGGCAAAATTAAAACTAAATATGACAAGATTTTAAATGAATATGGCAAGAATTGATATGAGCTTCTTCAGATTTGAACTGAACGAATACAGATATTCGACTATAAGAGTAGAGATCTGAAATAAACGTGAACAAATTTTTATTTTTTCAAACATGGCAAAATTTAAATGAAATGATGCGCTTTATCAGCTAACAGAATTAGAAGTAAAAAATAATATAATTTAAATTTTTCTGATGGGATTTGTTAAGAATAATCAATACCTCTGTAAGTAAAAAACTAGGATCAATGTCTTGCAAACTGTGTTCCGCTTTGTTGAGTATCCTAAGCGTGGTAATAATCCGGACTTGTCACTTTTGAAAAACAATCGCTTTAATCCTTTTAATTAAATAGATTTTCCACACGAAAATGCCGACATTTCTATAAGTATTTAATCATCGACTGAATCATCGATGTTATTCGATTACAATCCTTACTGAATATTTTAGATACTCGATCATGTATGTTATGGTTTTTTCATGTAATTGACTATAAGCTTCCGTGTATATTTCATCTTATCGATGAGCTGCTTTGATATTTCTCAGAATCTATTACACGCGTACAATGATGCTTCTATTTATATTTTAAGAAAAGGGCCGATATTTTAATAAATAAACAAAATCTTCTTTAAGCCAAACTCGACAACCCAGAAAAGCTTTAAAAATCTTCAGGCTGTTGTCTATTGAATGTACCGTGATAGTTCTTACAATCTTTCAAATCTTCCGTAATTTATCACAAACATGCTTGAAGTTTTTGCTTCAACGTTCATGCATTCATTGATCCTCTCATATCCACCATCCATACACTAGTTCATCCACTCATCCGTCAAATGCTTTTTCTTTACAGTTTCATACACTGAGCTCTCTATAATATCCTTATATTCTCGTTGCAAAAACGTGTAATTGATGATAGCTGTCGAGTGTTGCATTCAATGAAGATAAACATTGCAAGTGTGAACATTTGTTCAAGGCTATCTTTCCCATCTTTCGTACACAGCTAGCTGTCCCATGTCCTATCTTTCGTACACAGCCAGCTGTCCCATGTCCCATCTTTTGTCCAATGCAAGCTGTCCCATGTCCCTCCCATCTCCCGTCCAAAGCTAGCTGTCCCATCTATCGTCCACAAAATGTATCCCTTTATCCATTTTTAATACAAAATTGTATCACTATTGTTTTTAAATTACATAACAGCTTACCATAAAGCCTCTAGAACAAATCTCTAGTGAAAGAACACGTCGACGAGTACAGGGACCCCACCAAATTTTACTCTTGCGTTGTGAGTCCCCTGTTAAATATGTGTTGAAGTGGCCACCCTCCCACTAGAACTTGTGGCCATATTGAAGTCCCTCCCCCTCCCCCACTCCCACCCTCCCCATCCCAGGACCCATGGCTGTTTGCACTAGCACAGAAACCCCGTGACAGCTACGGGCTTTAAACTGGCGTCGCTGCCTTTAACCGCGGCCGTTAAATTAATCCCGGATTATCAGCGTTAATCCTTGTTAACACGATCAGGCTGCTGGTCTGTGGGATATAACGGGGAAGCTGACGTCATCGCTTACACAAAAATTGACATCATCTACCAAACACCCCGCTCTCTAACTTAACATAATTAACTCTACCCCCCCCCCACCCAACTGTCAATAAACCCTAAATAGCATACTTATAACAGCTTTTTGCTATACCCCTCCCCCAACTCACTATGTATACATGTACACATAAAGTACATTTGTTTATATTTGCAGGCACATTCAAACAACTATACCGACTCGTAAAGACAATTCACCAACGTTGCCGAAAACACAATTTAAAAACAAAATCGACGTGCTTCCCTTCTCTACCTTCCGGTATAAATGAAAATAGATAACTGTTCAGCCTGAAAAAATAAAAATAAAAAAATTCATGGAATGAATTATCACATATATGCTTAAACCATTCAAAAGTAAACATTGCATTGTGAAGTATACTTTTTGTTGCTGTGCATGCTTGTCATCGAAACGTATGAATGAGTGTTTGAAAATCTCTCGTCGAAATTACACAATGCATTGCAAAGTAAGAATCTCATTGTAAACTGTAGGACTATATGCCAATGAAACTTTGAATGAATTAAGTTGATTTAATTACGTGTAAACAACTCACAATACTATGTGTGTATTGAAGAGGTTACTTGAGTTTTACCACCACAACAAACTGCGACACATCCTTGTCTTCCATGTAGTTTAGATGTCAGGTGAGTGGGGGGGGGGGGGGGTGGTGGGCAGGGAGGAAGGGAGGGGAGGGACGGACGGACAGCTGGATGTAGATAAATACCCCATCAAGTTGATCCCCGCACTAAAAATAAATCTTTTAATTACCATAAAAGTTTTATGTCTTGTTATGGTCATTAAGCACGCGACCTTGAATTAATTAGCAGACAACCAGAAGTTGAACAATCGTGTCCTGTCCGTTGCTCTTGAAACACTCCAATCTTTACCTGTGACACTCCAATCTCTACCTGTGACACTCAAATCTTTACCTGTGACACTCCAATCTTTACCTGTGACACTCTAATCTTCACCTGTGACACTCCAATCTTTACCTGTGACACTCCAATCTTTACCTGTGACACTCTAATCTTTACCTGTGACACTGTGACACTCCAGTCTTTACCTGTGACACTCCAATCTTTACCTGTGACACTCAAATCTTTACCTGTGACACTCCAATCTTTACCTGTGACACTACAATCTTTACATGTGATACTCCAATCTTTACCTGCGACACTCCAATCTTTACATGTGATACTCCAATCTTTACCTGTGACACTCCAATCTTTACCTGTGACACTCCAATCTTTTCCTGTGACACCCCAATCTTTACCTGTGATACTCCAAACTTTACCTGTGACTCTCCAATCTTTACCTGTGACACTCCAATCTTTACCTGTGACACTCCAATCTTTACCTTTGACACTCCAATCTTTACCTGTGACACTCCAATCTTTACCTGTGATACTCCAATCTTTTCCAATGACACTCCAATCTTTACCTGTGACACTTTAATCTTTACCTGTGACACATTAATCTTTACCTGTGACACTCCAATCTTTACCTGTGACACTCCAATCTTTACCTGTGACACTCCAATCTTTACCTGTGACACTCCAATCTTTACCTGTGTCGCTAACTATAAATGAAATAACATTGTGTGAATTCATTTATCTCTATACTGTACATGGCTTTATTGTATTGTAAAGGGCTGAATGACTCTGTAATTCATAACAGTTCTGGAATTTAGCAAGCTGATATTTCGTTGTGGGCTGTCCATACTTTCATGAATGACAACTCTTACTATGGTCTTTTTTGGCCGATACTTATGAATTGTGTTGCTGTACTGAAAATATGGTCAGTGCTTATTAGCTGTTTAGGGCCATACCTTTTAGTGCTGTTTTGGTCGTACGTTTAGGGCTGTATAGGCCGTGCTGTTTAGGGCGGTATAGGTCAGGTTAATCATGGCTATGTAAGCAATGCTGTTCTGTGCTGTATAGTGCACAACTTTCCTGCACTTTGCTGTCTTGTAACCTAAAAACTGCTGTTTCGCCGTAGATGAGGAACATGAATGTGGTATTCAGTTTACAGCTTTTGAGTAAGGGGGTGGAATACAATTTTTGAATAGTCTATGTGTTCTGCTAGGTGGTAGCCTAGTCACCAGTGGTAGCCTGGTGATACCTTAGCCAGCAGGGTAACCTGTTGTTACCAGTGTTTCTTCCAGACTTTTTTCTCGGGGGGGGGGGGGGCACTTGAAATTTTCGGGGGGGGGGGGGGGCGGTTAACTTTCTTCGGGGGGGGGGGGCGGACACTGTTAAAAGTATATATTTTCTATATAAATTATATAAATTTCATTCCGTTCGGGGGGGGGGGGGGCGGTAAAAATTAAAAAAGCAACAAAAACTCCAACCTAAACATTATCCTAGTCAACGCAAATCAAAACTTCATATCGAATTAATTACCGTATTAATTTTTTTTCCCCAGAGATGCAGCAGTCTATACACCTGCCCTCCACCTCCATCGCCCCCACCACAGTCACCCTCAGGAAGCGACGCCGGCCCTACTCCAAGTTCCAGATCGCTGAGCTAGAGCGTGAGTACTCTAGCTCGACCTACATCTCCAAGTCCAGGCGCTGGGAGCTGTCCCAGCTCATCAACCTCTCGGAGAGGCAGATCAAAATTTGGTTCCAGAACCGCCGGATCAAAGCCAAAAAACTGCAAAAACGGGAGGATTTAGGCCTGCCGCCTAGCAACCCTGGTATGGGCACGCCCCAGCCGTCACATCTCCTCCAATCAGCGATCTCGGTTTAACCAACTGGGCGGGGACTGTAGTCATTTTTTTTGTTTTTGTTCAGACTTATAAACTACCAAGACAATGGGCATTGGATTATGTCAATATTCAACGCTATCATCCACGGTGTTTTAATTTATGCAATCCATGTCACGTGATCTGTGTTATCCATGACGTCAGAGGTCAAAGATTTGAAACTGAAAGAAAGAAGCTGATTGGCTGATGTTTGTTACGTGCCGAAACGTGGAATAACCTGTCTCCTAGACGGCAAGACATGGATTTTAAAAAAAATATAATTAATATTGTAAGATTGCTTCTTTAGTAGATTAGAATTGTGTATTTGGTACTTTGTTAGTACTGTATCAAGTACAATGTAAGTACTCTCAGTGTCGGATGGATGAACTATCATTAAAAATGTTTTTTGTTTGCATTATTTAATAAATGCTAGTGCTTTTGTATTCAAAACTTCAATGCCAAATGTTTTAAATTTCAAAGAAGTTCCTACCTATTACATGTATGAATGCATCAATACTTTTGTAATGGGTGTGTGCTGATTAAAACAGGATCCGGGAACTTTACTTAACTAAAGCCTAAATCTACGGCAGCCATAACATTGCTGTCAATCTACAGCTGTCTATCCAAGTCGGTCAAACCAACCCTGTCGATAGCTGGGAACCAACGGCTGTCAACCCGTAGCTGTCGTCGACCCAGGAATGTCAACCCATATCTGACAACCCAATATTGTTAACAGCTGGACGTCAACCCGTAGCTAAAAAAAACTATAGCAGTCAACCCACGGCAGTCAACCCACGGCAATCAACCCACGGCTGTTAACCCAGAGCTGACAACCCACTATAGTTGACACCATGACGTCAAACCGGAGCTAAAAACATCCTTTAGCTCTCAACCCATGGCTGTCAACCCATAGCTGTCAGCCCATAGCTGTCAACCCACTATTGTTAACGCTAGCACGGCAACCCGTAGCTAAAAAAAAAAAACAATAGCTCTCAACCCACGGCTGTCAACCCAATGTTGTCAAGCCACAGCGGTAAACCCATAGCTGACAACCCACTATTGTTAACAGAACGTCAACCATTAACTAAAAAATCCACAGCTGTCTACCCACAGCTAACAACCGTAAGCTGACAACCCACAGCAGTAAACCAATAGCTGCCAACCCGCATGCAGTGAACCAACAGCTAACAACCCACTGCTGCCAACCCATAGCTGTCAACCCACAACAGTCAATAAATTGCTGTAAAGTACCTATAAATAAATGTTGCTTTGTGTTTGATAAGACAGTCCTAAGTCTGTATACGTAGCGCTATAGATGTGTAGATGTGTAGCATCTGACTGTATGTGTAGCATCTGACTAGATGTGTAGATGTGTAGCATCTGACTGTATGTGTAGCATCTGACTAGATGTGTAGCATCTGACTAGATGTGTAGCATCTGACTAGATGTGTAGATGTGTAGCATCTGATTAGATGTGTAGCATCTGACTAGATGTGTAGCATCTGACCAGATGTGTAGCATCTGACTAGATGTGTAGATGTGTAGCATCTGATTAGATGTGTAGCATCTGACTAGATGTGTAGATGTGTAGCATCTGGCTGGATGTGTTGCATCTGACTAGATGTGTAGCATTAGACCAGATGTGTAGCATCTGACTAGATGTGTAGCATCTGACTAGATGTGTAGATGTGTAGCATCTGACTAGATATGTAGCATCTGACTAGATGTGTAGCATCTGACCAGATGTGTAGCATCTGAATGAATGTGTAGCATCTGACTAGATGTGTAGCATCTGACTAGATGTGAAGATGTGTAGCATCTGACTAGATGTGTAGCATCTGGCTTGATGTGTAGCATCTGACTAGATGTGTAGCATCTGATCAGATGTGTAGCATCTGAATAAATGTGTAGCATCTGACTAGATGTGTATCATTTGACTAGATGTGTAGCATCTGACTAGATGTGTAGATGTGTAGCATCTGGCTAGATGTGTAGCATCTGACCAGGTGTGTCGCATCTGACTAGATGTGTTGATGTGTAGCATCAGGGCTGGATGTGTAGCATCCGACTAGGTGTGTGGCGTCTGACTAGATGTGTTGATGTGTAGCATCCGACTAGATGTGTGGCGTCTGACTGTATGTGTAGTATCTGACTATATGTTGCCAAATTATGTCGTTTGTCTACCTAAATTGGGCTATCTGTATGTAGTAATTCTATTTTTGTGAGGCTAAAATGTATGTACGTCGATAATTTAATTACGCTTTTGTGATTCTTGTTAATCAATTATCAGATGCAGAACATCAAAGAGAAGTATTGATTATCAGGGCAGTTGTAGCCTTCTATAAGTATAATTGATGCGCATATTCTGAATTTATGAATGGACTTTGAATGGGTTCGAGCAGTGAATGTGAACGATTAATTTTAGATATTTTAGTCATGTGATAGTTAATTAAAATTTTTATTTTTTTTTGCATTATAATTTGATTGTAAAAAAAAAACAGAGCCACAACATACATTTACTTTTTACGTTGTTTTATGTTATGAACTATGTTGTACGTTGTTTTATTTGAACACAAAATATTGTACAAATAATATCATTTAGGATCGTATCTATCGTAGAAGGCTGTTAGCTAGTTAGGGTTAGAGAGAATTATGAGAATTAGTTTTGTTTTTGGACTTATGGGGATTAAGACTATCAAAGTATATATATATATATATATATATATATATATATATATATATATATATATATATATATATATATATATATATATATATATATATATAGTATCGTACATAATGAATTGCTACTGACCAAAAATAAAAAAAACTACGTGTTTTACATGTGATATGTGAAATTAAGCTTGATGATACCTTTGTCATTTAATATACTTTGAAAGGAGATTTGAAGAAATCGCCAAGAAATAATTGTCTCCCAAAAAAAACTGACTAGTGTTATAATTATTTATTTCATACGCTACAACATTGGATGTCATCCTTGTACAACTTTAGCCGGATTAAAGGATTAAATATGTACTCACTGATTTGTCTTGTTGCTTGCTTAGTAGGCGTCTATATATGACGTTAGGTTTTTAAAAGATGTATATCCCCCTCCCTCCACCCTCACAAATATTACTTATAATAATATAAAGTTTAAAAAAATAGCCATTTGGATGTTGTGAAAAAAAATTCCTCAAAATATTCTAATAAAAATGTCTTCAAATATTCTAATAAGATTAATTATGAATTGATTAAAGTTATTTTTACAATTTTTGAAGCGCGTAGAGAAAAAGGCTTAAATTAATTTAAACAAACTACTTTTTTAAACTAAAAAAAAATGTAGTTCTCACATTATGAATTCTCCCACCCCCACACTCGACCACTTGTCCTGTTTACACGTAGTCACGAGGGTTCAAGCCCCACTTCTGACTGTGAGTGTGACGTCATATAGGCAAGATGTACCGCAAGCTTTGAGGCTCGACCAGCAGACATATTGATACAATGTGTTCAGAGGTGTAGCTATTGGAGGATGGGGGGGGGGGGGGGATACCCCGAACGGGGTAGGAATATAAAACTGGGTGTGGGGGGGGGGGGGGTCTTTTTGACAATGTGAATAACTATAAAAATTGCGGGGGGTGAGGCGCAAAGTTGATATTTCGACTGGGCGCCGGAATGGTTCGCTACGCCTCTGTTTGTTTTTTAAATTAACAAGGGTGTGACCTCACATGCGTTACCCACCCACCTCACCTACATCTGTGCTTATCAAATAAACACAAAAATTGATTCGGTACAAACAACCAAAGACTTGCCTGCATGTATGATTGTATTAACAATATATTAAACATGGCTAATGAAGAAAACACCACTTAGTAAAGGAAATAAAATCTCTTTAGCAGTTGTACGCAAACAATACAACATATGTGTGTAAATATTTCTTTGAGAGCATACAAATTGAAATTGTTTACATTGTTTGATTATAACGTTTCGAAGCTGGCGGTCATAGGGTCAAGTGAAGGGATGGTGTGGTAAGCATTATACCCAATTATATTATCCTACAATAGAATTTATTTTTAAACTGCTACTTTATTCAGGCTTATAAAACTGATGCAATAAACTAAATCAATATAGCAGAGACCTGCGACATGGGAGTCATATGTAACTATGACACGTTCCACAGCTTAACCCCCAACACCAACACGTGTAGCTATCACACACACACACACACACAGACTATCCACCAAGTAAACACCTGTAGCAATCACACACACACACACACAGACCATCCACCAAGTAAACACATGTAACGATCACACACACACACACACAGACCATCTACCAAGTAAACACATGTAACGATCACACACACACACACACCATCCACCAAGTAAACACATGTAACTATTACACACACACACACACACACACACACACACAGACCATCCACCAAGTAAACACATGTAACGATCACACACACACACCATCCACCAAGTAAACACATGTAACTATCACACACACACACACACACAGATCATCCACCAACTGAACACATGATGAACTGATGACACATTGCAATTGTCCAAACTACCAAATCCAAGTGAAACTCGGTAAAAACTTTGTACCCTAAACCTCATCTTCTCAAGCTGATGGCTCGTCGCTTCTTATTTAAACAGTTGCATTTTAGTTTTATACAAAGTCCCTAGCTGATAATAACAATCACAATAAAAATAACCTAATAGTATCAATAATAATAACAACAATAACAAAAATAACACCAATTAAAAGGATCGGCCAAAGAAAACATGGAGAAGAACGGTATAGGAAGTGGCAAAGACCGCCGGGTTCACGTGGGCACAGATAAAGAGAGCTGCCCAAATCCAAGTACGGTGGAGAGGTGTAAGTGCAGCCCTTTGCTCCCCAGGTGTTACAAAGGAAAATGATGAAATGATGAATGATTATAACAATTATTATAATAATAAAAAATAATACAAAATAATACAAAATAATACAAAATAATACAAAATAATACAAAATAATACAAAATAATACAAAATAATACAAAATAATACAATAAATACAAAAAAAAATACAAAATAATAAAATAGTTTTTTTTGAAAATTTTAATAATTATAATAATTATAATAATTATGATGATTATAATAATTATTATAATACTAATAGTTTCGCTGTCTGTCTATCTGACAAGAACGCTCTAGAGAAAAGACAAGCAAATTAAAAACACGCATAGTAATTCGAAAAACGAAATATGACGTTACATTTAGCATAGAGTAATCTCAACCCGGAGAGTGCACACAGTAATATGACGTCATTGATTCTCGAGTAAACATTGAATAAAAAGGCAATTTTGTCTAATCTATCTACAAATGCGACCAGTGTTTCTTTCAGACTTTTTCCTCCCCGGAGAGGGGTGGGGGTACTTGAAATTTTCGGAGGCGGGGGTAGAATTTTCTAGGAGGGGGGCGGACACTGGAAAAAGTATATAATTATATTTCGTTGAATGGGACGGTAGACATGTTTTGGAGTGTTTGTGGGGGGGGGGGGGCTAAGCCCCCTCTTCCCAAGTAGATTTGCTTGAAAGAAACTCTAAATGCGACTTTTGTCATGAATGAGATTAGGTGCATGGTTTAGGGATATGCCTATGACTATATTTTGTATAAATTAAAGTACCGAGAAAATAGACAGCACTATCAACCTAGCGCCCGTTGTATCCTTCCTCAACGGGCCATTTTTCTCGTAATATAATAATACCTCAACAGATCTCGGTCTAAGCTTCTAATATCTAAACAATTTTAAATTATGTTATTGGTCAGCGAAGTCCCAACTATATGAGATTCCAAATTGAGTAAGCCTCTCCATAGGCATCGAACTGACTCACACGCTATATAGGACACCACAATGTCATTGACTAGGACCTTGGTTAGATACATTTTCCTCCAGTCATTGTTGAGATGTCCAGTAGCACGCTGACCATTGGTCCCCACTGACGTTACATCATCACGTGACACGGTGACACACATAAGCTCCACCTGGTGTTGTATGCACTAACAAGATCCACAAGACCGACAACTCTGTCACAGCTGTGATTGGGCTGGTAAACTTTGTTTTTGGTTAACTGTCATCATTATCAAGGCGTCGAAGGAGTTTAGTCGTCTTGATTGACTTAACTTCATATGATCTAAATATAGCCGTTCGAATATAAACGGGCATCACCAATACAAGACCAAACAATCCATTCATATATCCACCCACACAATCCATTCATATATTTGCCCACACAATCCATTCATATATCTGGCTACAATATGTTCAACACTGCCACTGAAAGATAGGACATCAAATATGGTTGGCCCAGGTTAGGACGAAGTTGGCCTAGGTTAGACAAAGTTGGCCCAGGTTAGACAAAGTTGGCCCAGGTTAGACAAAGTTGGCCCAGGTTAGACAAAGTTGGCCCAGGTTAGGACAAAGTTGGCCCAGGTTAGGACAAAGTTGGCCCAGGCTAGGACGAAGTTGGCCCAGGTTAGGACAAAGTTGGCCCAGGTTAGGACAAAGTTGGCCCAGGCTAGGACGAAGTTGGCCCAGGCTAGGACGAAGTTGGCCCAGGATAGGACAATGTTGGCCCAGGTTAGGACAAAGTTGGCCCAGGTTAGGACGAAGTTGGCCCAGGCTAGGACGAAGTTGGCCCAGGATAGGACAATGTTGGCCCAGGTTAGGACGAAGTTGGCCCAGGTTAGGACAATGTTGGCCCAGGCTAGGACGACGTTGGCCCAGGATAGAGCAAAGTTAGCCCAGGTTAAGACAAAGTTGGCCCAGGTTAAGACAAAGTTGGCCCAGGTTAGGACAATGTTGGCCCAGGTTAGGACGAAGTTTTCCCAGGCTAGGACGAAGTTGGCCCAGGTTAGGACAAAGTGGTCCAGCTAATCAGGAGGCCAACGAAATATAAAAATGAGTATTAAATTCAGCATGGTTCCACCTTAACATATTCTGCTATCACTTCACATTGACTTTAAAGAACGACACGATTGATTTTAAGAATTTGCCATAAAGTGGTACTTTAAGTAAACGTGCTTTTGATCTAGCTATTTTTAATTCAGTCATTAAGAGTAAACTTTTTTTAAAGTAAAAAAAAATTAATAGCTACGACACATTAGATGTAGAGTTTACATTAGTTTACAAACTTCAGCACGATTTATGTTAAGAAGGTACATAACTCTGGTAATATTTTGTTTGCGTTATTAACATGTACTATCTCCCTTTGACTAATTTTTTTTTTTTTTTTTTTGAGAACTATTTTGAAAAGTTTACATTTACTCATAAAGGAAAACAAATTATTTATTCAATTTCATAAAGAAATTTAAAATCAACAATCTATTCGAGTATTTACAAAATTAAGAGTAATTATAATAGAGCTTTGTATTCTATATCTTGTCACCATTTCTATATTTCTATTGCTGAATCTTGTATTTTTTATATAATGATTGCTTTTGCGGTTTCAAAAAAATTATTCAATAAAGCAGAGGGTTTGTTTTTTTTTATTTTATTTTGCAAAATGCATGACACTTTTTAAAAAATAAGGTAGACTACCATATGAAGTGATTGATCAAAAAGATCTGGCAAAAGATTCATATAGATGACCACATATATTTCGTGAAAAAAATCAAACACATTTCATAAAGATGAACATACAAATTCATAAAGCTGCCCAAACAACAGGTTCTTAAACATAACCACAAAAAATTGTATAAAATTATTGTACAAAATACATTAAAATGACTATTTAAAATATTTATAAGAACCCAAAACAAATGCAGTAAAAATTCTGAAAACTAATCGGCTTTTGCATACTGGTTTAAATATTAAAAAGCCCTATTTGCAGATCATACAGTAATTTTACAAATCCTGAACATTTTCAGAATCTGAATATTATCAGAACTTGAATATTATCGGAATCTGAACAGTATAAAAACCTGAACGTTGGCGAGAATCTGAATCTTATCCTATCTCAACATTATCAGAACTTTAATGTTATTAGAACTTGAACAGCATTAGACCCGAAACATTAAGAAATTCAAAAACTTGAACTAAATTAGAATCTGAGTATCATTTAATTAGAACCTGAATCGAATTAGAATCTAGAGCATCATCTAATTAGAACCTGTATTTAATTAGAACCTGAACATTACCATAACCTTAACCTTAATATCACCAGAATTAGACCATTACCAGAAACTGTACCTAATCAGGATCTGAACATTACCAGAATGAGGACAATTATCAGAACCTATACAGTATCCGAACTTCAACATTTTTAGAACCCGGATAGTTAAATCAGAACCTTAGCATTATCAGAAACAGATAACTCTTGGAATCTAAACGTTACCAGAAAATGAACATAATCATAACCTAAACTTTATAAGTACTTGTCTTTTTAAAAATACTTTTTTACTAGCATTATTCAGGATAGAAATATAATTATTTCCTGCGATTATGAATCTCTTCTTTTAGAAACAGAACATTTTCAGAATCCACAATATTCACTTAAAAACTGAAAAGAATTAGAGAATCAACATGCGTATTTTAAGAATTTCTCGCACACTTTCGTTGCTTCATCTTACAATCTCATTGCACATTTTGAGAATCCCATTGCACATTTTCAGAACCTGATGCGTATTTAGAGAAACCCATTGCACGTTTTAAGAATCTCGCTGCACATTTCACGTTGCACTGAAGCTCAAACGTCCGTGTGTTTGTCGCGGAGCATGGTCTGACGGACCTGACCCTCCTCTCCTGTCGTCTGCTCCTGGTCGTGTACGGCGTCACGCTTGTACATCCTGTACAGTGTACACGGGCTCGTGGCGAACAGAAGGTCATAGGTCAAGGACCCTGCGATGCCACCAACCACGGGACCGAGCCAGTACACCTGAGAATGGAAGAAACACGTATTAGAAAGACTTAATAATTCGTTTCTTATTCTTCTTAATCCAGTTCGTGCCAAAAGACAGATCGGGCAGATGAAGTAGAGTTCTTCTGATATGCCCAGCCGCCTTTGTAACGTAAGTTAGGTACCGATCAGAGCTGGGTGTACTCCGGGACGTTCCACTGATTCGAACCCAGATTCGTACTCGTGATTCTCGGGTTAGCAGTCTAGCACTCTACCGCCAGGCCACGCCGTAATTATTTGTTTTATAGTACGTTTTTCGTTGTTTTTTTAACGTGATAATAATTTGATAATAGCACTTTTTTTAAATATAATCGACAAATTAACTGATTATAATTGACTATTTACAACACAACGTTGGGTCCCATGGTAAAACACTATGAGTTCCTATGTTTACAAAGGGTTGAGTTGTATTTGACTCGTGTGTGGGCCAGTGAAGGCGACTAGGTAGAGTGTTAGTTGATCGCAGGCTATCTTCTTCTAACTTGGTTTTAAAGGAATAAACTAACCCTACATCCGCTGCCAGTAAGTAACCGCCCGTGAAATCCCCCCCTCCCACCCCCAGGTGTACTCACCCAGGTGTTTTTAAACTGTCCCAGTATGAGCGCAGGTCCAAAGTTCCTGACAGGATTCATGGCACCACCAGACAGATCCTCCTGTGGACAGGTGAGAAACGTGGGTTTGTAAAGACATTGATGGCTTTTTACCAGTCTTGTACATTTAAACATCAATTCAAACGTGTAAATTTTTTACCAATCTTGTAAATTTAAACGCCAATTTAATTGTCTATATTTAGAAATAGATGACACAGACACTTCCATTAAACACTACCCCCTCAACATACGCACACACACACACAAAAAAAACACACACACACACATCCTCACCCACCTACCATCTCCAGATATTGTCAGCGTAAAAAAAAAAAAATTTAAAAAAGATTTTAAATGAAACAATCATAGACTATTTTAATGTTTGGCTACTTACCCCAAAGAATATATTTATCGCAATAGTCAGGCCGATTATAAAAGGTTTGGAACCTTGAAGATCTTTTCTACCTGCATCAACCTGAGGTTAATAAAAATTGTTTGATTTTGAATGTTGTATTAGGTTTACACATTTAGCGATTGTTAAATTAGGAAAACAATTAGTTGCGCTTTCATTAATAAACCATTAAAAATATTTTAAATTCGCAGCTTGGTTGTCTATACACACGTCACACATTTTAACAATGCCTCTACAACTAACAAGGGTAGTGGTTTTGAAGTGTTTGTCTGTTTGTGTGCGTGAGTGCGTGCGTGTGTCTGTGTGTGTTTGTTTGCGTGCATGCGTGCGCGCAAGTTTACGTTTGAGTCTGTTGTCTTTGCATGTGTGTCTGTGTGTGTGTGGGTGCGTCTGTGTAATTTTTGCATGTACTAAAGCTATTGGCAATTAGCTGTGATCCAGTATATTTTCTCGTTAAATTAACATTATGTTTTTGTGACACACACCAGCAAATCTAGCGCGGTGTCACACGGCTTCAATGGTGTCACACACCTCGGATTGTGTCATACACCTAAAATGGTTTCACACACCTAAAATGGTGTCCCCTATATTTAAAGATTAATGCTATTTTAATATGTAATTATATCATTCGGACAATGCCGATTTTTCTCATGATTTTTTTTTTATTTTGAACAGCGCCACAGTGTTGAGCGTCACTTAGCATCTAACCAAGTCCCACAACTCACCAGCGACATGATGACGAAGGTAAGGAAGAATGTGACGAAGATCTCACAGCCTAGGGCCTGTTTGATGCTGGCCTTATCACTAACTGGGATGATGCCTAGGTTCCCTGTGTCAGTCAGCACAGCCTGTAGCATGGCCGCACCGGTGATCGCCCCTGATGTTTGGAAGATTGTGTACACTAGGCATCTGTACAAAAAATACACAAGATGTACACAACATACATATGATGTACACAATATACACAAGGTGTATCTACAATTACCCTATAGATTGCGGCTACACGTGCATATATATATATATATATATATATATATATATATATATATATATATATATATATATATATATATACATATTATGTGTGTGTGTATGTGTGTATGTGTGTGTGTAATATTCACATCATTATATTTTCCATCTACACAACATAAACATACATTGCAAATTGTTAAAAATAGACATGTAGGTATAGTACATTACACAACATAAGTATATACCATACATGTACATAATATTAACATGAATAGTAAAAATGTGAATAGATTTTTGTAAGATCGGAGACCATTCAGTAGAGTTTATCTGTCTCTGTATAACAATAATTCTACAAATCTTAAAATTTTAGCTAAAAACTGAACATAAAAGTAGCGTGAAGCTTTGCGGCGAGACTCTCTACACTTTTCCTAGAACTTTTTTAATGATCTAATGACCTAATGACCTAAAGACCTACCTGAAGAATGTGATGTGACCCGTGACCAAGAAACCAATGGACACGGCTGGGTTAACGTGACCTCCACTCACGGTCGATAACGCCGTGATGATGACGGCGAAGAAGAAACCACAGCCAATCGCCACCTGCGGAAGTCACGTGACAAGCCAGTGGTAATAAGATACATATTGGAGTATTACGCAGTTTAAAAAATTTGAGCAGCTGATTGGTTGTGGAATATTACAAAACAAAGAAAAAGTGTGGTGATGCAAGGTTAGATAACATTAAAAATAGATCACAGTGAGGAGAGATGTATATATAATGTAGACAGCGATTGGTCAAGCAGTTAAAATAGGTAGGAACCAATGGGAAGTGAGATGACCAGTGACAGATACGAGCAGTTGAACAGGATCACCCTTTACATGGGGTCACCGACCAAGTGACCTGACCACCCACCCCCGCCATGTGACACACTGCCTATATTTTCCTAACATGTTTTAAGCTCTAATTTACCTGTTCTTACCATACGACGCATACACCATTATAACCACTTAGTGTTGTTGAATGATCAAAGTACTTGCGTGCGTTTAACCTATCTCTTCATAACAAAATTTCCATTTAGGTGGTGTTTTTCGCTGACCTTTAATCTAATGCATATATTACCAACAGGACATATTTGTCCTAATCCTATAAACCCTAACATTAACGCAGGCTTAGATGTTAAATTCTAATCGATCTCAAGAAACATATCTTGACATACCTAGCTACATCATATATATATATATATATATATATATATATATATATATATATATATAATTATATATATATATATATATGCCCATATATATATATGCCCATATATATATATATATATATATATATATATATATATATATATATATATTATATATATATATATATATATATATATATATATATATATATATATATATATATATATATATTTATTTATTTATTTATTTATTTATTTATTTATTTATTTATTTATTTATATATGTGCGTGTGTGTGTGTGTGGGCCTACATAATTATGTCATAATTGCAGCTGCTTCTTGTCAACCTAAATGAGGTCACCCAGCCTTCAACTGGCGTCACACAACAAAGAACCAACCAACTCATGCAACATTTTAAAATGACGCAACCTTGAAAAACCCGCACACTAAATATGTTTTCAAAATTACAATTCGCGTCTAGCTAACAACGTTCAAAATTCCCCCGCCAATTATAGACCCGCGACGCACAAATTATTTTTAATCCTGTGCACGCTAAGCAGCACCCCACCCCCTTCCTCTTCTTTCTACATGCACACCTCTCCACGTCCTATTGAATTTTTTCATGCGTGACCAGATTTTTTTCCATCCCTCCCCCCTTTGTGGTCGATGAACCGAGTTTGCACACCGGAAATAGCTGCAGGAGCTATTCAAAAAATGCCCGCACGGCCATAGAGGGCTGATCGATCGCAACTTGAGAGGTGTGTTCGTGTGTTCACAGAGAACCTAGGTCGCCATAGAGAGCAATTCATTATTTATAAGAAGCGCTGAATGATTGGGTCTGAGTATCTTGTAAATGAGAATCCAGTACTAAGATATATATATATATATATATATATATATATATATATATATATATATATATATATATATATATATATGTATATGTATATATATATATATATATAATATTATACATATATATTTGTATATACGTATATATATATGTATATAGCCTATATATGTATATTATATATATATATATATATATATATATATATATATATATATATATATATATATATATATATATATATATATATATACATATATATACATACATACCTTTTGAAATAAACTATCAAGCATGATAAATATATATATATATATATATATATATATATATATATATATATATATATATATATATATATATATATATATATGCGTGCAGAATGTGTGCCTGCTTGTATGCGTGTGCTGTTGAGATAAACGTGTATGTCCACTGCCTAGTTAAGTAACACCCCTTTAAATATGTGTCGAGACATCTCTCTTAAAAAATATCACCTGTCAGGTGACGATGAAACTCACCTGTAAAAGAGACGCATCCTTGCCCATTCCAAATTTGATGGCGAACATGTTGAGGAACAAACAGCCCAGGAACTCGGCCAACGCCCCCCGCCACAGAGCCAGACTCTTGAGGTCAGCCAGTTCTCGGTCTATCAGCCTGGAGAAGCAGCGGTCATCCTTCCCTGCTGACCTTCCTTTAGACGAGTGGTCTCTCATTGTCACAGTTCACTGTACTAGCAACACCTGATGTGTAAATTGACTTAATTACAGGGAGACGACTCGAGTAAAAATGAGTGACGTTGGGTGATTGCCCCTTAAGGCTATGGTAAACTGACTCCATTTAGGAAATGAGAAGGGGATTTCCCTAACTATACATCATTATATTATTCTATTTGGGGAAAAAAACTGTTTCCCCTTAGTACTTCCGTTATTTTGATAAAGGGTATTTTATTTTATTAACGGTTCTATACAAAAAGAATATTTCCGTTATGAATTATCAGGTAAAACCGATTCTCTAGTCAGAATTTAACAGCTAATGCTGGTACGAGTATGCGTGTATAAATAACTTGATATGCTAGCTTTACGCAGTTTCTAAAATAAATTAAAAATTATCCCTTAATATAAACTCCTCTTTATTGAAACAAAAAAAATGTTATAAGAAATATGTGTTGAGTTAATGTGTCTACATAATCTTCAATCTATCGAAGTAGTGTGTTCGAAACATCTTTTGTTTTGTTGCAAGCTGTTGCTATACGTATTTTCTTGTAAATATTGATTTACTCAACCAGGAGGACGGAGTAAAACAAATACGCAGTTTTGGAGTTAGAAATTTCCTTTCCTAGTGTGTCGCTCTAGCAGGTGACTTACTACGTATTCTAGTTGAGTACTTTATTAACGTGTGCGCGTGTAACATCTGCACGTGACAGGAAATGTCTGTGTCAACGTTATTATGTTATACGTCAACAGCTGGGATCACGGTTGGTTTTGTCTCGGCGTAGGGCTGTTGTAGGGGTTGTTGTAGAGGCTGTTGTAGGGGCTGTTGTATGGGATGTTGTAGGGGCTGTTGTAGGGGCTGTTGTAGGGGTTGTTGTAGAGGCTGTTGTAGGGGTTGTTGTAGGGGCTGTTGTAGGGATGTTGTAGGGGCTGTTGTAGGGGCTGTTGTAGGGGTTGTTGTAGGGGCTGTTGTAGGGGCTGTTGTAGGGGTTGTTGTAGGGTTGTTGTAGGGGGTGTTGTAAGGTTGTTGTAAGGCTGTTGTAGGGGCTGTTGTATGGTTGTTGTAGGGGCTGTTGTAGGGTTGTTGTAGGGGTTGTTGTAGGGGGTGTTGTAGGGGTTGTTGTAGGGGTTGTTGTAGGGGTTGTTGTAGGGCTGTTGTAGGGGGTGTTGTAAGGCTGTTGTAGGGGCTGTTGTAAGGCTGTTGTAGGGGCTGTTGTAGGGCTGTTGTAGGGGCTGTTGTAGGGGCTGTTGTATGGTTGTTGTAGGGGCTGTTGTAGGGGGTGTTGTAGGGTTGTTGTAAGGCTGTTGTAGGGCTGTTATAAGGCTGTTGTAGGGGCTGTTGTAGGGGCTGTTGTAGGGATGTTGTAGGGGGTGTTGTAGAGGCTGTTGTAGGGGTTGTTGTAGGGGCTGTTGTAGGGGTTGTTGTAGGGGCTGTTGTAGGGGCTGTTGTAGGGGCTGTTGTAGGGGCTGTTGTAGGGTTGTTGTAGGGTTGTTGTAAGGCTGTTGTAGGGCTGTTATAAGGCTGTTGTAGGGGTTGTTGTAGGGCTGTTGTAGGGGTTGCTGTAGGGGCTGTTGTAGGGGGTGTTGTAGGGTTGTTGTAAGGCTGTTGTAGGGCTGTTATAAGGCTGTTGTAGGGGCTGTTGTAGGGGCTGTTGTAGGGCTGTTGTAGGGTTGTTGTAAGGCTGTTGTAGGGCTGTTATAAGGCTGTTGTAGGGGCTGTTGTAGGGGCTGTTGTAGGGCTGTTGTAGGGTTGTTGTAGGGGCTGTTGTAGGGCTATTGTAGGGGCTGTTGTAGGGGCTGTTGTAGGGCTGTTGTAGGGATGTTGTAGGGGTTGCTGTAAGGTTGTTGTAGGGGTTGTTGTAGGGGCTGTTGTAGGGGCTGTTGTAGGGGCTGTTGTAGGGGCTGTTGTAGGGCTATTTTAGGGCTGTTGTAGAGGCTGTTGTTGGGCTGTTGTAGGGGTTGTTGTAGGGCTGTTGTAGGGGCTGTTGTAGGGGCTGTTGTAGGGCTGTTGTAGGGGTTGCTGTAAGGTTGTTGTAGGGGTTGTTGTAGGGGTTGTTGTAAGGCTGTTGTATGTGTTGTTATAGGGCTGTTGTAGAGGCTGTTGTAGGGGCTGTTGTATGGGTTGTTGTAGGGCTGTTGTAGTGCTGTTGTAGGGCTGTTGTATGGGCTGTTGTAAGGGGTGTTGTAAGGGCTGTTGTAGGGTGTGATGACGCAAGATTACGTCAGACATGTTTAGCAGATATAGGTTAGCAGACACAGACTATAGGCCTAGTTGGTTGGTTAGAGAGGCCAATGGACGCACAGGGCTGACCGGTCACGTGGGACGGTCAGCTGACGACTGAGGCGTGGGTCAGTAGTAGAGAGATTAGCGGCAGTTGATAGGTAGCTAGCGAAGAGGGCAGAAGGTGTTAGGTTGTAGAATGGAGCAGACGTAGTTATGTAGAGAACAGTTAGAATGTAGATAGTGGTAGGATTGGTCATGGAAGGGCGTGTTAGTAGAGTTAGTAATAGTAGTGGATAGTATCGAACAGGCTAGTTAGATAGGAAATTGATTTATAATTTTAATAAAGAACTTTGTATTTGGAACTGAACTGTGTGTTATTGGATTCATTCGTTTCGCATCTTAAAAATCCCCACCCTCACAACTGGTGCAACAAGAAGAAATTCAAACAAAGATTTTTTCGTACCATCACAACTGGCGGAGCTCGGGACGAACCGCGGATCGAGTACGGGAAAGAAAGTATATCGGTTTACTCATGACGGAGTAAGACTGCTTTCTCTAACTCATCACAAAGCGGACTTCTTCAGTCGGAACGAGTTTGAAATACAAGGGAACTGTCACCATATTCAAAAAGATAAGTACCTTCCAACATTTTTTTAAACGTTTGGGTTTATACCCGTGCTGGACAGTTTGTACCAGTGGTTTTTCTGCCTTATACATTCTATTGTTACGCCCTGTTTTCTTGGTTTTGTTGACTTTCCTCTACACACACACAACACACATAGACACGCGCCAACCCCATGTCAACAATGTCCTGCAATAGAAAGCTACAATTCTCTCAAGTTAGTATGTACAGCACAACAGCAAACGATTTCCAGATTACAAAATGATATCACACAACTCATAGAACAGCTACAATGTAACCATCTACCCCATCGGTCTTAGCACATTAACCCCATGACCAAGCATTTGACCCGGAACGCCCCCACGAATGATTTTGAACATAGGACTAAAGTCAAGTCGAGTTTTTTTTTTCTGTTAATCTAAGTCGCCGAGAAATCGGCGTGAAGTCAAAGAAGTTATTTGAAGTCAGTCAAGTCAGTCAATAAGTTATTGAAGTCATATTGAAGTTCTTGAAGTCAAGGAAAAGTCTTTGAAGTCACAGTGAAGACGTTTAAGTCGTCGAAGTTTAAGTCGGTCAGTGAAGTCTTTTAAGTTGAATTGAAGTGAAGTCGTCGAGGTCAAGTTAGTCTTCAAAGTGAAGTTAGTCGTCAAGTTGAAGTATTTGAAGTCGTCAAAGTGGAATCAGTCGTTAAATTGAAGTCAGTCACGTTACTGAAGTCAAGTGAAATAAGTGAAATTACTGAAGTCAGTTAAAGTGAAATAAGTCAAGTTACTGAAGTCAAAAGTGAAGTCAGTCATTAAGTCAAGCCAGCCAGTTTTTGTCAGAAGTCAGATAGTGAGAGCTGCTCCGCTATATGATTACGTGTTCAAATGTTATGTGAAACGGCACGATTATTTGTATACACTTACATGTCTATTCTTTTTGTGAAGCTATTTCTAAGCTCTAGTAGTGTTTACGTCTATTGAGTTTATTAGGCTTTACAGATTGTTGTTAGATTATAGTGTACTGATTTTTTATTTGGTTATGTTGTAATGTTATTTTTTTAATGTTTGTTATGCCGCCAGACAAATGTTCAGCACGTTTAAATTTGGGATTGAGGTTTTTTTTAAATGGAAGGTACCTCTGTCTGAATACTTGTCTCTGCGGGCACTAAGATAGTCACGTAAAGCCATTGCTCATGGTCTCGTAATACAATTTTCAGACCCACCAGCGCTTACACAGAATGAGACGAGATGAGGGACACACTTCAAAGAGTGCCGCCACCTGAAGCCCTGATTACGTTGAGTTACCTGGACAGCGAACAGCCTGCTGGAAGTGAATTGCCCTGGTCAAGACAGCGGACGCATCGCCACCGCTTAGCCCCACCCTGGGGTTATCTAACAGACCGCCAGCTAAGTTAACCTACGTCGGCACATACAAAGGGTAGAAGACCCATCGTCCAAGTTCCCAGCGTCGGAATGTTACGTCATTGTTCGCCACCGCATCAGACAGCTCCAGTTCATCGTATAATCACTCTACGTGGACGTCTCAACCAGCGTTGAGTTTGTTGCGTCATCACATTGACCAACGAAAGTTACGCCTACACCCGCCTCACGGGAATTTACATCAAAACTCGCCACAACCCACCCACCACAGAGGAACGCCAACAATTACATAACACTTACACATACACTTACACTGCTCGCAGAGCCCGTTCAACCAGTTACACATTACCACTAAGATTAGCTCAAGGCCAGTACACGACAACCTAGCCAGAACTGAGTTACACATGATTGAATTCACACATACCATAACATAGACATACATTAGCAAGCAGAGACACCAGTCACACCACAAGATTTCAGGAACTAGAACAATGACATTTCTTTCAAGAACACAGACACAAGAGTTTATGTTTTTGTAAACTGTGCTGTCCCATTTTGTATTTGATTTATATGATTAATGTTAGGGATAGAATAGAGTAGTAAGATAGATAGTTGTTGATGTATTAGATTAGTAGTAGACGCTGAAAAATATAATTTGTCAGCTACAGAAAGGGAGGGAGATATGTGATGACGCAAGATTACGTCAGACATGTTTAGCAGATATAGGTTAGCAGAAACAGACTATAGGCCTAGTTGGTTGGTTAGAGAGGCCAATGGGCGCACAGGGCTGACCGGTCACGTGGGACGGTCAGCTGACGACTGAGGCGTGGGTCAGTAGTAGAGAGATTAGCGGCAGTTGATAGGTAGCTAGCGAAGAGGGCAGAAGGTGTTAGGTTGTAGAATGGAGCAGACGTAGTTATGTAGAGAACAGTTAGAATGTAGATAGTGGTAGGATTGGTCATGGAAGGGCGTGTTAGTAGAGTTAGTAATAGTAGTGGATAGTATCGAACAGGCTAGTTAGATAGGAAATTGATTTATAATTTTAATAAAGAACTTTGTATTTGGAACTGAACTGTGTGTTATTGGATTCATTCGTTTCGCATCTTAAAAATCCCCACCCTCACAACTGGTGCAACAAGAAGAAATTCAAACAAAGATTTTTTCGTACCATCACATAGGGGCTGTTGTAGGGGCTGTTGTAGGGTTATTGTATGGGCTGTTGTAGGGCTGTTGTAGTGCTGTTGTAGTGCTGTTGTTGGGGCTGTTGTAGGGCTGTTGTATGGGCTGTTGTAGGGCTGTTGTAGTGCTGTTGTTGGGGCTGTTGTAGGGCTGTTGTATGGGCTGTTGTAGGGCTGTTGTAGTGCTGTTGTTGGTCTGTTGTAGGGGCTGTTGTATGGTTGTTGTAGTGGCTGTTGTATGGTTGTTGTAGGGGCTGTTGTAGGGCTGTTGTAGGGGCTGTTGTATGGTTGTTGTAGTGGCTGTTGTAGGGGCTGTTGTAGGGTTGTTGTAGGGGCTGTTGTAGGGTTGTTGTAGGGGTTGTTGTAGGGGCTGTTGTAGGGGTTGTTGTAGGGGCTGTTGTAGGGCCTAATGTAGGGGCTGTTGTAAGGTTGTTGTAGGGTTGTTGTTAGGCTGTTGTAAGGCTGTTGTAGGGCTGTTGTAGGGTTGTTGTTAGGCTGTTGTAGGTTTGTTGTAGGGTTTGTTGTAGGTCTGATGTAGGGGCTGTTGTAGGGTTGTTGTAGGGCTGTTGTAGGGTTGTTGTAGGGCTGTTGTATGGATGTTGGAGGGTTGTTGTAGGGGCTGGTATAGGGGCTGTTGTAGGGCTGTTGATTTGATGTAGGGGAATTGGATAGGGGGTTTGAATCTCTTGTTAGGGCTGGGATGGTTAGATTGTGTATTACTTTGTCTGAGTTTAGGGCAGAGTTTCTTCCAGGCATCTCTAGGATGAGCAAAGGCCCTCCTCCCCCCCCCCCCTCGAAAAAAATCACCCCACCCCCCACCCCGAAAATATCAACTGCCGCCTCCTCCCGGAGAAAAAAAAAGTCTGGAAGAAATACTGGTTTAGGGAGAGTTATAAAGTTAATTATTTGATTTTAAATTCGTGATTAGGGTTAATAAGTTTAAATTTAGGATTGCAGATTTATGGTTAAGGTTTACTGGTTGTGAACCCAGGGTTAGGGTTAGGTTTAGAGAAATAGTGGTTCGGTTGTGTATTACTGTGTTTGAAATTAGGATTTGGGTTATAAAGTACAACATAAGATTTTAAGTCCAAAGTTTGTGTCTGTATAAATGGTTTTGAATTTAGGATTGCAGTTTTATGGTAATGGTTTACAGGGTGTAGACCCAGGGTTATGGTTAGAGTGTTTGGGTTAAGGGTTTAGTTGTTATGGTCTAGGGGCGTGGCATTGGTGAACTAACGGACAGGCGTTGCTCAAGATTCCATGAAATTTGTGGATCTACAGGTACTGATTTAATATTTTAGAAGAGATAAAATCGATTGATTTATTTAAAGATGTGAATTTGAATATCGACTTAATTAGTTATACATTTAAAAATTACTACCACCACTACCACCACCACTACCACCACTACCATTACCACCATTACCACCTCCACTACACTACTACCCCCAGCACCACTAAATTACCACCACCACTATCATTATCATCAGTACCGCCAATACACTACCACCCCACCACCACCAACCAACATTCCGTACCTACACACAGGACTGTAATTCTACCTCTGTATCAGCAGGCTAAACCAGCATCCCACACATCACCCTCCCGTCCCTACCTGCTCCAAGTATCACCTAGATTCCACCCATCACCCTCCCGTCCCTACCTGTCCCACCTCCCCTCTCTACATGTCCCACCTCCCGTCCATACCTGCTAAGAGTATCACCTAGATTCCACCCATCACCCTCCCGTCCCTACCTGTCCCAGGTATCACCTGGGTCACACCCCTACCCCAGGTGTCACACGGGTACGGCTCATTCATGTATGACGTCCACAATGGCAGGGGGGTCAGACAAAAGTCAGCTTTTGTCGACGGTGGGAGGGGGCGGGTGACATGTCAGGTGCAAGTGGACGTTCCCACGTTAGTTTAACGTCAAGTTTACAGGCTTCTAAAAGAATGCAAAGTATATAATCCTGAGCGTTAGCGCTCGTTTTAAAAACAGCGCAATGTGTTTAAAAATCGAGGTCACTGTTTTATTAAAATGAGCACATCTACCAAATTAAAATAAACCGGCAGTGATCTCCCCTAAACTTTCTCGAATATTCTTATATAAAACAACAGGGGATGGGAACTCGGGCTATTGACATGATTTTTAATCCATTTTAAATACTTAAAGTTTTAAAAATAGAATAAAATCTCGTAGACAAAATAATTGCACGCCAAGTGAACTAGTGAACGCCAAATAAAAAAGTGCACAATAGCGCGCAATATTATTGGTACTTTAAAATTTACATTAGTTTTTTGAGAAATCGGAAGTAGCGTAAATTACTACTTCCGGTCAACGGAAATTACTCAAAATTTAACAGAAGGTAGAGAATTAGATCTTTTACTTACATGTGAAATTTCATTTATCTATCTGAAATAGTACTCAAGTTATAGGCTTTTGAAAAATTCGGTTATCGGAAATCGCTCAAAAGTTGATACGGATCTACGATTTTGATAAAATACTTATATATGAAATTTCATCAACATACGGACAGAATTGCAAAGCCCAGTTTTTCAGACTGGATTACGCATAAAACCTCTTAATTTTGATAAATCTGGATTGATAATTTTTGCCCGATTAAAATAAGTCCTCTATACTTCGGATGTGATGAAGGACTGAGGTGTAATACGGTGAAAATTGTTAAAATTTCAAGTGATTTTTGTGCACGATTACAATACTTTCTCTATACTTCGTATATACGAGAAAGTAAAAAAAATGTACGCTTCCTGCCATACCAAAATAAGGAGTTTAATATATTTTTTTACTTTACCTTCCATACAATAATAGAAAACATTTAAAATATGTGTTGACATTTCCTTACATACAAAAATAAAATTTCTTCAATATTCGATATCCGTTTTTATTTGATTTGGAAACAAAATCATTACAATGAAACACTCGCTCAATATATTCTTCGCAAAACTGTATGAAAAGACGTCTAAAGAAAAACCTTTGTCTTTACTTTGATGTAGAGTTGTGTTCATGTTCTTGGTTTTAGTACATTTAAAAAATGTATGAATAAAGAAGAAAATATAATAAATATTATTTTTATCAGCTTAATTGGTAGGCCTAATTGAATTAGATTAATGTATGCAAGAAATCATCATCTGATACTAAATGCCAGGTTTTCTAGTAAAGCGTTCATCCCATTAATCCTAGATTAATCCCCACTGTTATGACAATGATTAAACAAATTAGTTTTTTCTTATAAAAACTCTTAAAATACAAAAAAATGTGTTGTAATTTTTGTGTGAAAATATTGCTGGTAGGTTCAGATTTAAAATTTCAGAGGTTAAGATTTCACTACATTAATTCAGAATTTAATTCAACAGTACAATTAACATGCATGTATTCATGTATGTTTATAAATTTAACAAAATCATTAAATTAATACATATCAAGAATTTTTTTTAATAAACGCAACCCAGATTTCCTGACCTCCTCCTGACTTTGTGATCTATAGCTCAAGCAAGATTTGGAAGCACTATTGATTAATATTATTGATTAATTAAACAGACAACAGTTCAATAAAAAATTTAAAAATCACAAACTTTTTGTGTGAGTAAATTAGTCAGAGAAATGTCCAATTAACAGGTCAAACAAAATCCTCCTCGATAGCCAGGTGAAGTAAAAAATAAAATCCCAGGTAACACAGCGACACAGGTAGACTCGGCTGTGTGGGTGAGAACTGTGGCGGCGAGTGAGAGCTAAGACACCAACCCTCTCCCCCCCCCCCCCCCTCCCACCACTCAGCTGACGCGACCTCGCTGTGGGAACCAGTGACACGTGACCGTTGAGTCACCACGGCTGGGATGTCCCGGGTGACGTCACCGAACAACAAAAGACAGCGACGATGGGAATTCCGCTTTAGACGGTACAAAGACTGTGATTGGCATGCAGGGGTCTGCATTGCGCCTTAATAGGTGAGAGAACTTCGTATTTTTCTAACCCCTCCCCACCCGCACAACCACCCACAACTTCCCACATCTATCCACCTTCAACACCCACACATACCCCGTGTTACAGAAAAAAAAAGATTCGCTGTGGATGACTTAACATTTAAGGATGTAATACTGCACTTTTGGTTATTGCTATTTTTTTTTTAATTTAATTTAATCCAATAAAGATGAATTAAAATTGTGTAACTATGATATCCTAAACATAGTTTAATCTAATCCAATCAGGATGAGATTAAATCGATAAATTATGCAATTCTGAATCTAACACCGCATTAAAATCACGGAAGCGACAAAAGTTGGAATGAAATATACATACAAAAATTTACAGGAAAAGCTAAACGGTTATGAAATAACATAACGTGTTGTTTCCAAATATTTAATTTCAAATGTTTGTGATGTATCAACTACCCCATCTTCTGTATCTAATCGCGTTAACAACAGATTTGTGGAAACAAAGAAAACGATTAGTAAATGCATGCCTGAATATGCCATCACACAATTAAATTATATTTTTAATTTATTTAAAACTATTTCTTAGAGGAGGGCGTAAAGCAGAAAAACGGGAAATGACGCTATAGTACCACGTAAAGAGTCACAACCGAAATACATGAAGTTTTCTTGACGTGTTTTGTTAGGTCAGCCTGATGCCCTTCCCTGGAAATAGGCCCCAGGTGTATCCAATCTTCTTGGTGTCAGGCATCTCTGTCCTGGGCTAGTCTCTCCAACTGTCCCCAGGTGTATCCTGTCCTGTGCTAGTCTCTCCAACTGTCTCCCAGGTGTATCCAATCTTCTTGGTGAGGTATCTCTGTCCTGGGCTAGTCTCTCCAACTGTCCCCAGGTGTATCTCTGTCCTGGGCTAGTCTCTCCAACTGTCCCCAGGTGTATCTCTGTCCTGGGCTAGTCTCTCCAACTGTCCCCAGGTGTATCCTGTCCTGGGCTAGTCTCTCCAACTGTCTCCCAGGTTCCTGGGCTAGTCTCTCCAACTGTCCCCAGGTGTCCTGGGCTAGTCTCTCCAACTGTCCCCAGGTGTATCCAATCTTCTTGGTGTCTTCTTCCGGGTCACGTCTCTAGGTCTTCCTCGGTCGAACTATTTTTCTTTTTTTCTAGTGGATTCCATGAGAGGGTCTCTAGGCCTGCACACAGCCTTCTGGGTGTGCGGCAAATCCATCTGTTTTTTTCTCTGGAGGATCTCTTCTTCTGTTGCTGTGTCCGTTGCCATAGTAACTCATTTCTAAAAGTGTTGTATGGGCTAAATAGTTGGCCTTGTGTTCTAAACCATGTGACATTTTTACACTATATATGAAGAAAAAGAATTGCGTGTTCAGATGGTAGAGTTCACGGCTTCAAACAATAAAGTCTCGTGTTCGGATTTCATGTTTGAGTCTGTAGAGTGTCCATGAGTTCACCTAGCTATGATGGGTACCTGACTCACGTTAGGGAAACAAAGGCGGCTACACCTAATGTTGACCACTCTATCCCCATGTATGCCGAGGTCTTTGAAACAGGTGAACTCTACCTTATTGTCCCATGTAACTTGGGCACGAACGGGAAAACACGATAATGATGAAAGATAAAACCAAATTTAAAAATAAACTTTGAAACTGGGTCATTTGTTAAGCTTTGTGAAAACAGAGAAGTTAAGTAAACATTACATCTATCCAATCTTACAACAAAGAATGTGTCTCTCAAGTGTGATGAAAATGGCGCTTTTGAACTCGAGAGATTTATTTTCTTTGAACCGTATTGAAAGGACAAATTAGCTTTGTTGCTAAATTGTTTATTTTAAATAAATTATTTGAACAAAGAGTTTTAAATAAATCACTGAATATGCCCACAAGTCTCATTGAATGAAAAGACTGGTAAACTCGTTTAAATAAAATTAGGGGCCATGTCAATGTAAATTTTTAAAATTGTAACTATTTCCGATTGAATATGAGTATTATTTAATTCACATTTAGAATTGTAAGCTATTCTAGGGAAGAGCACTCAACACAGTGGCGTAGGCAGGGGGGTGGGGTTAGGGGGGGTCATAACCCCCCCCCCCCCCATAGACCCCTCGGTATATATAAAAAGTATGAGGGGGGTGCAAATCGAAAGTTTGAGGGGGAGGGGGGTGCAAATCGAAAGTTTGTCCCCGGGTAAAAATTGGAACCCCCCCCCCCTTGAGACGATCCTGGCTACGCCACTGACTCAACAGGAACGTATTTAAATACGATTTTCAGTCATAAAAGACCTAGAATACTTGTTTCTAGCTCTGAAGATGTAGTGCATGTTCCTTCCCATCAATAAGATACTACTTCTTTCAGTGTTATACAGCTGTATAGATGAATAGTAGGCCTACTCGAGTCTATCTATGAATGACCTTTTTCTAGCCATACGATAATATACCAATTGTTTCCATGTATACAGTTATATTCGTACAAGATTCTACGTGTACACAAACTGTACCAGTTTTTATCTTTATACAGAACATTTTTCTACCCATATCTAGTACTTATTTCTACATAGATGTTCCTATAAATACTTATATAGTTCACTTAATTAATTGGAATGCAATTAAATACTTCATGTAAATTCCAAAAGTTAAATTAATCTGCACATCCGGAGTAAAATTCTTTGGTCCGATTCCCATTATACGTCAAATCTAGCCAGATTTTTCTGCAATTCATTTTAGGTGGGGAAATAAGGAGTGTCTTTTCTATAGACCCCATGACATGGATCAGAAGTTGACAATTAAGAGCGGGGAGATTTTTTAAGCCGATGTTTCCTACAAATATTGTGCGGAGGTACGAGAAGGTGTCAGGTGTAGTGATTCAAGGCTTGCGGGGAGCTATGACGCCATGAAGAAACGATTTGCGAAAGTTGCTACCACGTGTTCCTTAAGAAATAAAAATAAAGTATTAGTACCTACCCAATTTTCAATGTGTGTGTGAGTGTATGTATGTATATATATATATATATATATATATATATATATATATATATATATATATATATATATATATATATATATATATATATATATATATATATATATATATATATATATATATATATATATATATATATACATACATATCAAAACCGATCTGTGTTCTCAAATAATTGCCATTCTGTTGTGTGGCGGTGAAAGTAAGGGGCAAGGGTGGGGGTATAGGAGTGGTGTAGGCCTGAAGTTGGATGTGGGAAACTGGGTGTGATGTGTGAGTGGGGTATCGAATTGTGGTACACGGGTCGTGGTGTGTGTTATGGGGTAGTAGCTGGTGACGTCGTGGGATATGGGTTGAGGTGTGTGTGTGGGGAAGGGGGTGCACGGTGTTTTGCTTTCTGTTGTTCGGGGTGTAATGCGATGTGGGATGTAACTCGGTGAATGTTTGGAGTGGGGTGTAGTAATGGTGTGGAGTTTTATCTCCCCTTCATTCTGTTAAAGATTTCCTTTGTGACATTTAGATTTATTTCACAAGAATTTCAAAACTAGCTGTTATTTGTGTGCTGTTCACTCCTCCAAAAATTACTTTTGAAACATGTCTAAGGAGCGAGGCATGGGTTTCGTATCTACGTTATCGATAAAATTGAAATCAAAAGTTGAAATTTAGGCTAATATTCAATGCAACCAACGTAATAACCAATTGCTATCTGGTGTAGTACGTAGTAAATTTTGGTACTTTCGGTTCTTGAAAAATATGCTTTAAAATGCGTTAAGTGTTTTATTTTGGAATAACGGTAAAATAATAATTATTTTATCATTAATTTGAACTAATTTATACAATTGTATGGCGAATAATTATTTATTAAATTAAAATTATAAAATGAAGATTGCTTTGCTTATGTCTGTATTTAACTGTAATATTACTGTGTGTGTGGACCATATTTGTGAACAAATGTTTTAAGTTGTCTACCTTAAAAGAATTACATTTACAGTATTACTAGCGTTCCCGTCCCCGCGGTCACAGCAGAAAGTTCGAGGATAGCATGTGGCAAATCGCGCCGTAACTAATGGTGATGAAACTAGATACTTACAGTGGGGCTTTGTCCAGAGGCGTAGCGACCGGGGACAAACTTTCGATTTGCACCCCCCCCCCCTCAAGCTTTCAATTTATTTTTCCAACCCATTTTGGCGCCCCCTAAGGTCGGCGCCCGGGGACATATGTCCCCCCCCCCCTCGCTACGCTTCTGGCCTTGACATACGGATGCCGTCACATATGAGGGTTTTTTGTTTAGATACGACCCGTTGAGTGAGCAATATTTTGCTTTGAGCTACGAGTAAAAATTGAAAAACTAGGAAACTGCTTTTTCAACAGCCTGATGTTACTGTGGGGATTTCAGGAAAATGCGAAGAAGGCGTGGCGAAAGGGCGATATCCAATGAAAATAAAAGCAGTGACGAAAATTGAGGGAAAGTAACGAAAAAAAATGCACAGTAACTTTTAAGTTCGATTAAGTTCAGGTAAGTTTAGTTAACTGACATTAAGTAAAGAGTAGCATTAATCATGTCCAGAGTGACAGAAAGTGTTTCGATTAACAGAGTGAACGAAGTGAAGCTCTTCTGCCTTCAACAAAGACAGCGTCTTCCTAAGTTCTAATCGATTTGTTTTCAACTAAAGGAAATGTACTTTATAAAAAAATTCATAAAAAACGTTTTAATAACAAGCTTTTATGTAATAATGCACTAAAAAGTAGAAAATAAATTATAGACTACTATTTA